AAGACTGAGCCCCTAAAGCCACTTCCCAAGTGCCTTGAGAAGATGGGCTGTCAGGCCTGGCTCAGACTTCAGCGCTCTCTCTGGAAAGCTAAATGGCTCCAGGGAAACGCTGCCTGCCAGAGATGTGGGAACAGTGACCACAGTCCTGCCCATCCTCAAAGGACAATCTCCAAGTTAAGTCTCTTCCTGTCCCGGACCAGGAAGAAAAAAATTTAGGGGACCATGACGGGCCCATGACAGGACCCCTCCAGCCCTTACGAACCTTATTCCTGGAGACTAAACCAGTGTTCAGTTTATTAAAAAAAAAAAAAAACCAAAATAATCTTTATCTTTCTCATCATAGCAGCTGTATGCCCAAGAGGTATGGAAAGTTTCAGTGCTATGGTGGTTTCCACTGCCATCCAAACTCTCCTCTGCCTTCAGCCTCATTTTTCTCAGGCCCTGGGGCTGTGTTGAACAATTTGACAGAGGAAGAGAGAAAGTGAAAGAACTACTCTTCCCAACCTCAAACCATAAAATCTCTGCAGAGGCAAATAAGTAAGCCAGGCTGCCCGTGGGCTGAGCGATCGCGTCTCCCAGCCCCGCAGGCCCAGCTACTCATACTCACGGTGCCAGTGGGACTCTCAAATATGCCAATCTTGCCAGTCTCCAACACCCGGTACAGCTCTGCCATGAAGTCTTTTTGGATGGAATAGGGTGTGAAGGGAAAAGGGAAATGGATGTCACCAGCCTCCGTGGTTTTATTAGCCATGGCCCTAGGGGAAAAATAAATAAATCTGGTAACTCACTGAATAGCCAAGACGTACTGGCTTGAAATCTGGAACTGTTCAATACTAGTTATAGAATTTCTCCTTAGGTTGTTGCTTTTCTCCCCAAGCAGAGAAGACACATATGTGTCTTCATGAAGCCTGACGAAAAGCACACGATCTACCTAGCAATGTTTACCAGAAAGGGCTAGCGCAGAAAGCACCCCAAGCGAGCCCGTGCAGAGCCCCCCACCACTGCCCCTCCCTGGGCGGCCTTTGCCTTAGATGCCTTTCGAAGGCCGAAGACGAGATTCCCGCCCAAGGCTTGTGCCGAGGTCAAGGATGGAGGTCACAGATCCCTCTGCGGTATTCTGCGCTCAGTGTCGCAGCGCGGCAACAGCCCTGAGAACTGCTCCACTGTGTCCTGCTGTGGGAGACGCCCAGTGAAACCACAACACAGGCAGAAGTGAAAGCCCAGCTTCTCCCCCAGCACAAGTCAACAGCCACCCCCCACTTTCCATGTATCTTTCATTTCCGTCTTAGCTCATCCTACCTGTCATTTCTAGTCCAACCAGAGTCATTTCCTAGAAATTTTCTGGCCTCAAGAAATAAAAGCTTTCTGGCTGGTCTAGTCTCCTCCTGGTGGCCAAGCTCTGGCTGGACACGCTTCCCAACACTAAGACCGCAGCATCATCTCTGTCCTTGCTGGCCTAAGTCTAAGCAAACAGCTCTGCCCTATGTTAATTTCACCCTTTCTCTCCTCTTGTGAACCTCTAAGGTAGCTTTTACATACCCTTTCTCCCCCAGTCACCAGCTGGAGGATTAGTTCTTCCACCCTGGCTCCCACACGGCTCTTTGGCAGTCCCTGCTCCAAGCCAGTGAGCAGGCCCACCTCTGCAGGAACTGTAAGCCCCTAAACGTTGCATTTCATCACTCTTCCTCCCACCAGGGAGGATGAGTAGGGCGGCAAGAAAGCCTTGGTTACCAAACTTTAGAATGACAACATGAAACAATACGGAACAGAAGTAATTATTATTTCACTTCCCTGTAGGTGGTAATTATGGATCTCATTATTCCAGAGCAGCACAAGCTAAATCATAAGTTAAAGAAGGGTTTAGATAAATCCAGGAATAACGGGTTCGCTAAGCGCTGTTCAGGGTGTTTCGAGTAAGTTTCTGCCTCCCTTCAGGCCGGCGGCACAACCAGCAAGTGACCTCCCGTAAGTTCCCCCAGACTCCCCGCCACCGAGGAACACACCGGCTCATCTTCACTCCCCAGTTACCACTTGTTATTTACTTAGGTACACACTACTGCCACGCTCAGCTATGTCTCCCCAAAATTCTTGTGTTAAGCCCCAAAGCCCCCCATGGGAGACTGACTGGAGATTGGGCTTTTAAGGTCGTTAAGGGTAAACATAATAATAATAATAATGGCGCAGGTTTGTGCTGTTAATTTAGCCGTGAACCACCACAGGCTCTTGTCTGAAAAGGCATAGAAAGGAATTCGCAGACATTTTAGATGAGCAGAAACGAACTTAAAGTACAGTTTATCGAAAGGAAGAAAGGCCTGCCAAGGGGCAGTGGGTCCTGTCTAGGGATATTTAAACCATTTCTTCCCTCTATTCCAAAACCTGGTCATCCTCTCTGTGACTGGCTCGCTGCCAGGGGCCATTCTCCCAGGGCAGCTGTGTCCAGCTTCCCAGCTCTCCTCTCAGAGTTTGCCTCCCCTGACCAAAGTCGTCTTCTCTCAAGTTCTGCTGTCTTGTTCCGTCCCCCGGGCTTGCTGTCCTCATCGCAGGAGTGTCTTTTGGTTAGAATTTACTGTCCTCATCTCAGAAGCCTGCCTGTAGGCACGGCTCCTGCGGCTGCCAGTTAACCCTAACTTATCCTGGGACTCAGTAAGTGTGGTCCCCATGTAGTTTTTGGCGTTAGTGGGGGTCCCTGGGTTCACTCTGGGAAAGGGACAGGAGATCACACAATGGGCTCCGTCTCCGTACCTTCACCTTTCACGTTTGGGGCCTGCACTCTAGACAGGCCTTCAGCAGTCTGCTACCTGTTTGGATCTTCTGCTCTGTAACCCAGACACTGCACTTGAGGACCCAGTTTTCTATGGCTGTGTCAATGGCCATGCTAACCCCTTCTGCCCAACTCCCGGTGTGAGTCAACCTTGTGATGTTTCCTTTCTATTCTTTCCTCCATCAGTCCTACTCCACAAGGACTGGGGACCTTATAAAAGGTGGAAAGGAAGGGAAATGGGGATGGGGACTCTCTTCCAGCCATGAGAAGGCACAGTTAAGAATGTACCATCTGGGGACCATCTTGTGCCACCTGGTGGCACAATGAATTAAGTCTCAGCACTATGAAGCAATCCACAGCCACTCCCGCCAGGGAGCTGACCCCAAGGCACACCAGACCTACTCCAGCTCAACTGCTGCTCCCCTCCGCAGTGTATTTCAGTACACCTGCCTGCTCTGCTCCCCACTCTGTCTCTGGTGAATCCTCTCACCACCACCCCATCTCTGACCTACACTCCAGCTCTTATGTGCATAAATAAATCTTAATTTTAGAAAAGGACCATCTGCGAATCAGGAAGTAGCTGATGCAGTGTGCCGGATAAGCATTCTTATCTGTTGCGTATAACAAGTTTGTCTTCTTGCATTCTAAGGGAAAGGATCTAAGCAGATATTAAGGAAGTTAAACATCAGGTGTTAACAAAGGAAGCTGATGCCCACCAAAAATCTCCCTTTGCCTGCATCCAAATGATGAAGGAAGGAAGGAATGCAGGGGAGACGTCACAAAATTGATTCACTGGGGGGGGGGGGGTTGGGAGAAGGGGTTAGCATAGCCAGTGACACAGCCATGAAATCAAGATCCGCAGGTGCCAATGCTGGCCCCAATGCTGACTTCGATGTTTGCTGAAAGTCCAAGCAGAAAACAAGACTGCTGGAGGCAGTGTCTAGAGCTCAGACCCAAAAGGTGAAAGAAAAGGATATGGAAATGAAACCCATTGGAGGATCTCCTGTCCCTTTCAGATTCTATTCAAAATCAACAAACCTAGGCTTGCAAGGAGTGAGCCCCTCCCAAAGAGATGTCTGTGTCAGGCAGATGCTGCACTGGCTCCGGGCAGTCCTCTGCCCACCTGCGCCTAGGCACTCTCCCTCTTTCCACTCACTCTCCCTCTGTAGGGCAGCAGCCTCCTGCCTGCCCGTGACCTGTACCTGCCAGGACTTCTCTGCATTGAGCATCCAGCAGAAGCTGCTCTCCTAAGGCTGCCCACCTGCAGCCAGGCAGGCCCCTCTCCACAAACCTGTCCCTTTCTGGGCGGCTCTTCCTGCCCACTTGTGCCTATGCAAGTGTCCTTTATTCTCCTGGCAAAACCTTTCCAGAGTGAACCCAAGGACCCCGAACTCCAAAAACAACATCAAAAGGACGTGCTGACCCTTGCCCAGCTCCCTTGTTACTCCTTCGAATAAATAATCCTGCCCTCTACCAAAGAGCAGGACGGTGATGACAGGAAAGAATGCAGGGGAGGCATCACAAGATTCATTCACACAGGCGGATGGGTAGAAGGGGCTAGTGTAGCAATTAATACAGCCATAAAAAAAAAATCAAGATCCTTGACACAGCCATAAAATCACGGTCCACAAGCAGCAAAGCCAGGATTTCCAGACGTCAGCAGGAGGTCCCAGCAAGTCACAGACTGTAGTAGGCTGAAGCTCAGACCCAAAAAGGTAAAAGGACATGGAGATGAAGCTCATTAGGGAAACTCCCGTCTTCCCAAGTTCCACATAGATATTTAAATCAGCAACTGACTAGCAAGGATGGGCCCCTCCCTACCTGAAGAAGAGGATAAAACCAAATGCTACCCCAAAAAGGTGCAGCTCGTCCTGCCCGCTTGTGCCTATTCAAGTGTCCTTTCCTCTCCTGTCTTTCTAATAAATTTACTCTTTAAATATAACTGGGTCTCTGTCTCGTGGACAATCTTGCCCTATGCCGCTGAAAGGGGCGCTCTGGTGAAAACTTTCCCAGAGTGAACCCAAGGACCCCCAACTCCAAAAAACAACATCAGTGCGAGTCCACTGCCTTCCTTAATTTGTTGCTTATCAACAAATTAAACTGCTTTCCTTCTCTTCAAACTGTTTCCTTTTATTGGCTGAGGAACCAAATAGGTCAGCTTCTTGACTCAACACTTCTCAGCTGCAGAACTGAGAGAATAAATGAGTGTTAGTTAAGCTACTCATCTGCCGTATTTCCTCATAGCAAGCCAAGACGTAGCAGGCTTCTCCACAGGTTTTTGCTGCTTTGCAGCTAAAAAGCTTTAACTTCACACACCTGGGAGACAACTGCGCCCTCGCGACTCCACCATCTCTGAATCCGAATCCACAAAGAGCTGCGCTTCTCCAGCAGCTGGAGAGATGGCCCAGCACGGAACCCCACATTCTCACCCTGCTCTGGCCTCGCCTCTCCCAGCTGCATCCTCGGAGCTCACACCTACCTGTAGGAAAAGCCGCTACGTCTCACTCGCCCCGACGCTCCCTCCAAACTGATGAATTCCACTCATTCCGGTCCACTAACTAGACTCGGCTCCACCTACCCTCCAGAGGGCCAGCAGCACCGCGAAACTAACAGTTTGGGCTCCGGGGTCAGACGGCCCCGTGGGGGCACCCACTTATCTCCCTCTAAGTCAACCCCCGAACCCTCGATTTCCTTATCTACAAGGCGGGGTAAGCAGACGCCCCTGGCTCCGCAGAGACCGCTGAGGGAACGGATGTCAAGTGCTCGGTACAGAGCGCCACACCGAACCCCAGGTGGCGCGGGCGCCCGCCCGGGAGACCCCCGATCTCCCGCAGGACCGTCCCCGTGCCTCCCTGCCCCCCTGCACATTTGCTCGCACGTCAATCACACCTGCGCCCGCCCCGGGTTCCAGAATGTTTACAGCGGCCGACTCGCTCCGCCCTCTGCACGAGTCGCCCCCCGCCGCCCTCTTCGCGTTTCTGCCTCTGCCCTTTCCCACCTTCTCGTGCCCAGCCCTGTCACCGCCAGCGCCCCGCTCTCCTCACCGCCGGCAGGTAGGCTCCGCCGCGGCCAGGCCGGTGAGGACTCGGCGGACGCGCCAAGGCGTTTGAACACACCCAGCGCCCCGACGCCGACGTCGGATCCGGGCGGAGCGTGCGGCGCGGCCACGCCCCCACGCCACTGCGCGTGCGCGTCAGGGACTCGGCGGCGGGGCGGGGGCTGGCTGGCTCCTAGCGCCGCTGCGCTGGACTGGCGGGCTCCGGGCGGGCTCTGGGACCGCCCGGCTCGGTCTGGGACGGGTATCTTGAAGACGCTGGGAAAGCTGCTGCTGAGGGACAGAAAAGGGGCCGAATGCCCTTCCCTCGCTGCCCTCCAGACAGCAATGGGCCTTTTTGATTGATGCTTCTCCAATTAGGGCCAAATGTACTAAGCCCTTAACAGGTGACTTGATAAAATTGGTATTTATGCAACACCTATGGGATGGGATGCTGCAGCAAGAATTAGGAAACAGGGTACAATTGAATAAGGTTGAAAACTAAGCCCCCAGTGCGGACCCAGCAGAGAGGTTTGGAAGGTTTGGACAGAATGGGCTGATGGAGGAAGGGATGGAAAAGAGGCATTTCACTTCTTTGTGGTGACGTTGTGGAGAATGGGGTTTTCACGAGCCTTTAAATGACCCATTTTGAATTATATCCATTTCAGGTGGAAAACCAGTGCCCCCGGATTTAAAACTTTTATTAAGCAAGACTGACCTACACAGGGCGTAGAAGGGGTTAGCACAGCCATTGGCCCAGCAATAGAAACCAAAATTTCTTGGGTGCCAGTGCCCAGATTACAAAGCATAAGATCTAAGCAGGTGGCAGACTGTGGTAGGTGAAAGATAAAGAAATGGAGTTTCAGTCCATTGTGGACTCTCCTGTCCCTTCCAGATTCTATTCAAAACCAACAACCACCCCAGGCTCACAAGGAGTGAGCCTCTCCCAGGGAGAAGTCTGTATCTGGCAGCAGCCTTTGCACCAGCCCAGGGCAGCAGTCCTCTGCCCACCTCTCTGCCCACCTGTGCCCATGCCAGGCCTCCTTCCCACCCACTCTCTCCCTCTCCCAGGCAGCAGCCTCCTGCCTCTGACCTGCACCTGCCAGGGCTTCTCAGCACTGAGCGCCCTCAGCAGGGCAGTTCTCCTGAGGCCGCCTGCCTGCAACCATGCTGGCCTCTCAGCAACTGCCCTTGTGGGAGCAGCCCTTTCTGCCCGCTTGTGTCTCTGCAAGTGTCTGTTATTCTTCTCCATTTGTAATAAACCTGCCCTTTTCGATACAACTAACATCTCTGTCTCATGGAGAAACTCACCAGTGCTCTGAAAGGAGAGCTCTGGTGAGGCCTTTCCCAGAGTGAACGTAAGGCCTCCATGCTCCTGCATCTCCAGCAATGACTTCATCTCTGTTCCATTTCTGTTTAGTAAGTTTCCTTAATAAACTTTTTCTTATACCTATCACTCAACAAATTTGCCTCTTTTCCCTTGCTTGCTGAGAGACAGCGAAGCTCCTTCTGTGGCTTTGGTGGTTAGGACTCCACGCTGCCAGGGCAGCTTGGGATTATTCCTGCTGGGGAACCAGAGAACCAGAAAATACAGTCACAATGCCAGGCTGGACTCAGGAGCAACAAAGTGAAACCACAACAGCCTTTTCCTGTTTCTGCTTATCTCACAGGAACAACAAGGCCCACTTGGAACAATGGGACAAAAATACCCCATTTATCTTAAAGATTTATTTATTTTATCGCATATAAGAACTGGGCTACAGGCCAGAGGTGCAGGGGTAAGAAGATTCACCAGAGAGAGTGGGGAGCAGGACAGGAGGGCTGACTAAAATACACTGCTGAGGGGAGCAGTGGATGCAACAGGAGAGGTCTGCTTCACCTTGTGCATCATCTCCCTGGCCCTTGATCAAATTCAGAGCACGGTGGTGAATCAAATTCAGAGCACGGTGGTGAATCAAATTCAGAGCACGGTGGTGACAGAGCTGAGACTTAAACCCCCTAGACCACCTAGGAAGGTTACCTATCCATTTAAAGGAAGAGAACTGTTGGGACTGACCAAGTGCGGAGATTTACCGAGGGACTGGATAAGGGCAGTAATAAATTAGGCCTTGCATCCAAGGGTGATAAGGCCGTAATAACTGGGCCTTGCATCCAATTAACTGGGCCTTGCTTGCATCCGGGATGGGACTAGAAGGTGATCACGAACTGGGCCTGACATCAAGGGACACAGGGACACAGCGATGAGTCACCCCTTTGGAATCTGAGTTTAGAATCTATATAAGAGACCCTTCCCCCTATAGTAGCTGTGCACCCAACCCTAGGGGCTCTGTCTCAGCTGCTGTGCGGGAGCAATAAACTCTGCTGGCTCAGCCTTTCTGCCCCCGGCCTTCCTTTCTTGCAGCCCATCACAGAAGTTGGGACAAAACAAGAACAAATTTATTTTCCATAAGTTGACAAATTGAGTTTCATCGTGCAGGCCCTTAAGAGTCTTCACTGTCTTCAAGGTGGCCTGCCATTGCCCAAACTGAGAGGGACACAGAGCTGCCCAGCTGCTATTAGATGGACAACAGAATGAAGCAGGGCATGCTCAGTTTCGTTGCAGTTCCAGACCAAATTGGAGCTACATTGTGATATAGCATCAAGTTACCAATTAGACTTGCAACTTGCAATTTGAATATTTTTCCTTTGTTCCTCAACTCCATAAATACCACCCAAAGCCCTCTGCTTGGGGAGACTGAGTTGAGACAAGCCTTCAGTCTCCTGCCAGGTGAAATTGCATTAAACTGTGAAATTGCATTAAACTGATTCTTTGCTCAAAAGGTTTTTGGCTTCTGTACCATCAGATAGCTGACCCACATTCACCAACAAAGCTTAAGTCCCTCCCTGCCTAGGAAGCACATCTAGTTAGAACAGAACATACCTTTTCCTCCTTGGGTGTGGGGTCTCCTTTGTGCAGTGGAGAAACTAGATTAGATGATCCCTACTTTTCTGAACGTTTGTACAAGGCGTGGTTTTCAGCCACAAGCAATTAACTCAACTCTAAATTTCGGCCTGATCCCACAGATTAAGGGCTCACTCCTACAAGACTACCCCCACCTCTCCATCCTCATTCTCACCCCCTATTTCAGAAGTCAATTGCAAGCCCAGGTTATTTACATTTCTGACCATCACTTGTGATGAAGGCATCACAAGATCGAGTCACACAAAGGGGATGTGGAGAAGTTGTAAAGCAACTGACACAGCTGTAAAGTCATGGTCCTCAAAATCTAGGTCCTCAGGCAGCAAAGCCAATGTCCTGGATGCCCCATGCCTAGATGTCGGCAGGAGGTCCCAGCAGATAACAGACTGTTGGGGGCTGTGCCTGATGCTCAGATCCAAAAGGTAAAAGAGAAGGACGGAGACGAAGCTCACTAGGGAATCTCCGGTCCTTTCAAATTCTATTCAAAGTCAACAAACCTAGGCTCCCAAGGCTGAGCCCTTCCCAGAGAGAAGCCATCTATATCAGGGCAGTCTCTCAGCCAGCTTGGGGCAGTCTCTCCTCTGCCCACCTGTACTTCTTTCTACCCATTCGCTCCCTCCGAAGGGCATCGGTCTCCTGCCTGCCCGAGACCTGTACCATGCCGGGACTTCTCTTTACTGACCTCCCTCAGGGGAGGGCACTCTCCTAAGGCTACCTGCCTGCAGGCTACCGGCCTGCACGATGAAACTCAATTTGTCAACTTATAGAAAATAAATTTGTTCTTGTTTTGTCCCAACTTCTGTGACAGGCCTCTCTCAGCAAGCCTGTCCTTACCTGGGCAGCTCTTCTGCCCACTTGTGCCTATGCAAGTGCCTTTCCCTCTCCTGTCTCTAATAAACTTCCTCTTTAAATATAACCGAGTCTCTGTCTCATGGAGAATCTCACCGTGTGCCGCTGAAAGCGGAGCTCTGGTGAAACCTTTCCCAGAGTGAACCCAAGGACCCCGAATTCCAAAAGACAACATCACCAGCTACAGAGCCAAGGTTTGCATGGTGCCCTACTTCAGGAGGATTCATTTGCTAGAGACTCACAGAACTCGGGAAAATATCTTATTGGCTAGATCACTGATTATAAAAAGTGGTCATTTAGGAACAGCCTGATTAAAGAGATGCATAAAGGGGTCTCCCTGGTGGTGCAAGGGGTTAGACAGTAGCACTATGAAGCACTTCAGTAGCACTATGAAGCTATCTGTCATCAGTGTGGCACTGGTTCAATCCCCGCCAGGGAGCTGACCCACACGGCACAGCAGACCTCTCCTGTCTCGCCCGCTGCTCCCCTCAGCAGTGTTTTTCACTAGATCTGCTTGTTCTGCTCCCTGCTCTGTCTCTGGTGAATCCTCTCACCCACACACCTCTGACCTGTACCCCAGTTCTTGTATGCATAAACAAACAAACCTCTAAAAAAAATAAATAAAGAGATGCACAGGGCCATGTGGCAAGGAACATCCACACCCTCAGGAAGCCGCATTGTCCCAGTGAGGTTTTTGGAGATGCTGGATTCAGAGAGTGGGGTGTGTGGGTTCACTCAGCAGCACTGGGGAGTTTTTCCAGGAGACAGAGATGTTAGTGAAAGGTTCAGCGCAGTCAGGGGGACACAGAGGGAGAGCGAGGCCAGTGAGGCCAAAAGTGGGTTTATTTCTGCGCTCCTGCTCCCGGGCGAGGCTCACTGACCCCAGGGAGAGTTCAGGTCAGACAAGTCGCACTGAGAAAGGGTCAGGAAGGGTTTTATAGCCTAGGAGTGGGGAGAGACAGCCAGGTGGAAATTTTTTTTTTTAATATAATAGTTTATTTTTACTTCATGTTGTACATTTTTTTAAATCTCAATTGTAATCCCCATGGGTTTCCCATCCCCGAGTGACCCGTGTGCCACCATCAGAGTCTCGTGCACTTCCAGGTGGAAATTTTGACGAGGAACAGGAACTTGTTTTTCTGCCCGGGCTTGTGTTAGCCGGAGGTGACAAGTAGGTCATGAGGTTGTCATGAGGTTGTCGCTCCGATATCTGCTTCTGCTTGAGGCAACTGTTCTT